AAACGAGATTCCCTGAAAGCCTGAGGTGAATGACGTCGAGATTGCAGTTCGGATCCGAAAGTTCTTCGATCGTATATGCGCTTTGATCTCGCGGTTATTTATCGAATAAATATGCACACGAAACGTGTTTAGACTCTCGATGAAATCAAAGAAGGCTGAATTTCTCTCGTGACATTGCCGGCTGAATTTTATAAAGACAACATGCCATTTATAATCTCAGTTATGATCATTCTCAAACGCCAAATGGTTCCAGAAAAAGAATAAGACGAAATATATTTAAAAATTATGTACTTGATATTAATTTTATTCGTCGTTTGCAGTTACAGTACATGTTTACAGCGTGTGAACACTACATATTTTTGAATAAAATAAAATTTGAAATAATGTTGAGATTTTTAAATACTTCAAGAATAAATCATTGAAAGACTAAAAAAGTTATTAATTAATACAACTTAGATATTTGTTATAGCTAAAACATTATGGTTAATGTTTGGAATGTATGCAAATAGATTTTACAGTTAATTATAAGTTGAATGATATTAGGCAAATAATAAAAATAAATTGTGTCAAAATTAAAATAATTAGAACATTATAAAAAGTCATAAATACAAACATATGAATAAGCAATTTTAAATGCTTTAATTAGAATAATTAATATATTAGTATATAATTTTAGAAACTCGTCGGGACTCGATGAAAATATTGTACGCAATCGAGCGTGGAATCGCTGATGTTACGTTTATATGTATAAAATGGTAATTTTATTTCTTTGTACAAAGAGAGAGAGAGAGAGAGAGAGAGAGAGAGAGAAAAAGAGAGAGAGAGAGAGAGAGAGCTATAAGCCACGAAAATTTTTTTATAAAAATTTTTGTTGCAGTTTTAATTGTTTACTTTGGCTGCTGAATTAATACTTTGATTCAAGTTTGAATTAAATATAAAAATTAATATTGTAAAGAATTAAAGTTTGTAAGAATAAAATGTTACAGAAATTCAATATTGAGAAAAATGATAGATGTTTTCACATGATGCTACATCGTGGGCGTTCAGTTTTTGCACCCATGCCAAAGAGATTCTAGATGATCAAGCGGGGCGTGGCTAAAGTAGTTGCCTTTCAATGGAATTGAATCATTTGCAAGGCACATACGTGCCTTGAATTTATTTAACGAAACAAAACAGCTATTTGCGAACGGTTGTCCTCGACGTGTGTATAAATTTCTCGTACTTCCGTTGCTTTTACTTTCCTTCTTGCGCTTTAGCGTACATTGAAATTTGCAGTAAATAAACACACGTGAATTAGCAAGCGAATTTAGTATCTTCAAAAGTGAAACCTGTTTTATGCAACAGGAAGACGGCGGGATAGCGACGTTGAATAGTGTGATACCGATAACTCACGCGATATTATATCGCTCAGTCGGGTTGTAAAGACACTTGGCTGCGAGATGCGTATCGCGGCGGGTGTATATTCGATTCTTCTCGCTCGCGCGCAGTTACGTCCGCGGGCGGTTTTATACAAAGTGCGCGTATACAGTTACAACTTGAGAGTATAAATTGTGCAATATTACGGCGAGTATTGCATTTGAACGCGCAAAGTAAAGTTTCTAATTAAGGGCCTCTCGAGCGTGCACCAAAGGATAAGACCGAGGGAATCGCGAAATATTACGAGGCACCGAACGGATAACGACCCTACCGGCTCCGCGAATAAACGCCGGGCTATCTCTTTTCCCCTTCTCCCTTCGTCACCCTTTTGCGCCTTTTCATTCCTCTCTCGTCCCTCCCACGCTTCGAAGTTCGAGTGGAACTAATGAACCGTACGCAACACAATTACGCAGCCGCTTCTACGAGAATCCTTACGCGAGTCGCTCTTCCATCTTCCTTTTGCTCAGCCGAGTCCTGCCACGACGCTTGAGGGCTCGTAAATTGCGACAGGATTGCGGTTAACGTACGCCGTTATCGATATCGTCTTATCTTTCTACTTGCATGTTCCTCCTTGTACCAACCGGCCAACCCGCTGTCGCCGTCGGCCGCGGGATCCGAGCGGAAGTGTAAAAACTGCATTTTACGATGAGAGCTGCGCTCTCACCTCTCGTAAACAAAGTTTAGTAAATTAATTCGCAGCTATGTAAATGCGTGGTTTATACGCTGGATGCCTTTTTGCGCGTACACCCAATGTGGTTGCGATTTTATTTACTGCGCATTATTCCAGCAGCTGTATCGTCGGAGAAAATCGCGCGGAATGTCAGTCGCTCCGCCATTTTTTTTATAGTATAATTAGAAATTTTAAGCTGCACTTCTCTGAATTTAATCATGCTTTATAAAATTATACTGTACCTATATAGAGCTTAGTTGATTATAGGCAATAATATTCTGTGTTTATGAGAACCATTTTTTGGCCGAATAAAAAAAATACTATAGATGATTTTACATACGCGAAAATACTTTTATATTAATAATCACGCTCGCAGAGCGTAAAGATACTTTATTTGTTAACGTATAAAGCTTAAACTGTCATTTAAATTATTCTTTACTCATTTATTATCAACATAAATGAAATTTTTGGAATTAAAACGAATTTCTTTTCTTATCGAAGATTCGTGTATTTATGTCAGTAATTGTCGCGTAACTTACATGATCAGTGTCATTTTTATATGAAAGAGTTTGAATACAAAGCGAAGATCATATTGTGAAGAGAAATTCATTGGCTGGGTTTATATTTCACTGTAAAAGGTCGAGCAGCAACGAGCGTGTGGAAAATCATAAATATTTAACATGCAAGTCATATCAGAGAGAGCTTTCTATATTTCGGGTCCTTCACGATTCGTTTCTTGGAAAACATGATGCCTCGACAACTGGTCAATGTCGATATTTCACAATGTGATCTTCGATAATCTACCATCGTTTGAATAATTTTTTCATTCTTAAAGCATAATAAACGTATTTGAAGATACACGTTTTCTTGAATTGACAAGCTGGAATTTCATTTTTAAAAAATTTGAATGTTTGGTAAATACATTTCAAGCGGGGATTACATGTTTTTATTAATTAATGGTAAGATGGTAAATCAATGAAATTTTTATATTTATGATTATTATTCTGTTATTACAATAACAACATCATTATTCACGAGTATGTAATATATTATTCCGCAAAAAATAGAGAACATTTTTTAGACGTACAAAATCGAGCAGTTTCTTAATCACTCATAAATTTTGCGAGAAATTTTTTTATTTACAACAATTTTCAGATTTAGAAATATGATGATAAAAAGTTTTCGAAAACAGCCTAAAGCATGTGTCAATACAAGTTACAAGTTTGAAAATTTTTTGTCTATGATAATTTTTTGCTAAATTTCAGCGGTTTTTAAATTGCCAAATTTTTAGCGTCCGGACATCTTGATGCGGCAAAACAGTTCGGCCAACTGGCTGATTGTGCGCCATTGATACGTACTCAGCCAGTACAGCCAATATAGGTTCAAAGTCGTGTAACTTGTACGTAATTTTAAGAACAAAACAGTATGTTCTTTTTTTAGGCTTAGAAGTCTAAAGATAAAAAATTTTCAGAAAACTGTCTAAAGTATGTGAAAGTACAAACTTCAAACTTTCAAATGCTTTTTAATTTACTTTATCTGCAATAATTTTTTGTCAAATTTTAGCGGTTAAAAAATTGTTCCATTTTGTGCGTTTGAATAGAGTTCTCTATTTTTTTGTGAAGTAGTGTATCATGTGCTGTAATGAAAGTAAAAGTTACACGCTACGTGCTTAGAAAACATTATTCGGAAAATGCCATTTGTTTGCGATTGTTATGAATGGCGTCTAATTTATGTAACGCGAAAAGTTGAGTACTTCTGGCGAGCCGCGGCCGAAATAGGAAAGAACGTAACACGCAATCGCGCGTGGCGTTGTCGAACTCGTCGTAAAAAACGGGCTTGCAGACGAGAAGCATAACGTCTGTTTACGATGGTCGCATAAAATTCCCTCTCGGATGGCATGCGAGCATGAATGAAGGCAGTGGTATGTGTCGTAGGAACGGCAGCCAGTCAACCGGCCGAGGGAACGAGCGATTACGCAAGCGGCCGACTTTACGAGCAAACGCGAAGCGGTATCTCTCTGGCTTTAGACACAGACAGTCCCCAGACAAGAACGACGATGACCTGCACGGTGCACGGTCACTATGATGATCTCAATGATGAAATCGCTTGAGTTCGTTAACTGCGCGAATAACAAGATAACAGCGATCTGCGTTAAATCTTCAATTCTAATTTGAAAATTCTTACAATCGACTCCTGGTTGAATTTCTTTTTAGTCGGATGAAAATAACGCGAAATTTATTAATTACAATTGCAAAGTACAAATGTAATAACTCGTGCGGTCATCAAAGCGACCGGGAATGAAGAAATAATGAGGTTCTGTGAAATTTTCATTTATTGATCTCTCTAACCGAGTTTTACTCGTCAGTCTTCTTGCATACGCGAGGAACTCTCGGCAATAACTGCGATGACCCGCATGGTGCAAGCTGCGATGACCTTTTAATGATGAAATATGCCGTTAGAATGAGAAAACAATAAGCATCCATCTCAATGTATAAATAATTGATAATTCTAACCAGTATTGGTTGATTTTTTCGACCGAGTGAGTTTGTCATTCAGTATAGACTCAAGCAGCGCGTGACCTTAATGAGGGGGATGACCTTTCTTCGTTCTCCGCGTTAAAAAATCTTGTGACGCACTGTCTATCCGTCATTCAATCTATTAATTTTTCGATCACTGATCACACCCTGCACATTTTAAGGACATCAAGGATGCATGAGCGAGTGTGCAACGTTATATAAGATAAGAATGTCTCTATTATCTTCCATGTTGCTGATACGAGTTGTTTCCCCTCGCTGAACAAATAAAGCTAAACGAGTGCTTTTATGACTGTCTATAAAGCTTTAAGTGTTAACGAAACGAGCGGTGTACCGGCGACTCTACGGGTTTTAAATCGCGCGTCTTTCCGTGTTTTCAGGCGCCGTGACCGTGCGCGGGCACGCACGCCAGTTCATACGCAAAACACCTGACTGATGTCGGTCATTCACATGAATCACGGTTGCACGCTACGCATTGATGTCAAGGTTACTTGAGTAACGGTAAAGTCGACCGCGCAAATGACAGACAGGTTGAGCCTGGTTAGCATTTCCGTGCTAACCGCCATTGCGTATGCATGAACGTTTTTGCAATTCTATTTCAGACAATATGAAACGATTATTGTCCGTGCGTGACTTTGGAAATCGACCGATGTTAGACTGAAGCACGAATCATTATTGTGTTGAATCAGCACGAGCGTGACGTTCGTCAATTACATAAACAGATACGAGATTAGTTTGCACTTGACTAAACATGTTCGTAATCTTAAACTGTAAAGTTCATTAAAAACATCTAAATGACGTGATTTTCGTTTGCATAAGCTAAGATAAAAAAGTTTTTAGCATTAAGACGTACATTAATCTTTAATATATATATGGATTATGCAATACGTTATATGTGTAATACATTATCTTTATGAGACAGAAAATATTTACTCGCGTATGCTTAATCTTTTTGGAGAATATTACGCCGTTTCAGGCATTACATGCAAAAAATACTTATTAATTTTTGTAATAAATAAAGTACGACTAATAATTTTATAAAAATAATGACACAATTAAGAAAATTTAATATAATATTATAGAAGGATTTGATATGAATGAAAAATTGTGAATAATCTTTAGTAGAGAAGATTCCTCGGTTTATCGCCCCAATTAATTCGTCGGAACTATTCGTTACGACGGGTTTTCGCGAATTTAAAACTCTAGTTCCCTTCTCCGATTGCTATGCAAGGTCAAGGCCGCAAACATAGTCGTCCACTTACGTGAGGTAGTTGCGTTTCCTGGAAACATAACGATGCATTGGCCGAGAACCTCGTTTATCGACTCTAAAACGAGTCAAGGTGCAGAGTACGTAGCAAAACACGGCGTACCTCACCCCTAAAATAGATTGTATCTGTACCGAGTTTCACGTCTGTCTTACGTGACGTCACATGGTACACCAGGTTCGCGGCAGAAGTGCCACGACCTGCCCCAATCCGGACGGGTGTAAAGGCAGGGCAATATAAACGAACGTTTACAGGCTCGTTACATTTTTATGAGCTCGACGCCACAACTACGCCACTACGACCATCAACAGAATGTCGTAAACCATCAACCAGCTCTGTCTCCCTTTCGTTTCCTCTCTCTTCCTTCCAGTCACACGCTCGGTCGCTCTTACCAATTCTTTCTCTCTTGCACACCCGCGTATCTTCCACCTACCCCTCGATGTCGTCTATCCCTCCCCCACTCGGTCGGTCCACGTGGCATTTACGCGTAACTTCCGGTCTGTGACGTCATGTCGCCGCTCGTAGACCACTTAAGTTACGTCATTTTATTGACTGCGATCATAAAAGTTTTTACACGCGGACCTCCTGCGTGCCCCCACTTGAGATCGCGGCGAGTATCGGTCGGTGGTGGGTTTTATGTCGCGCCGCTTTATTGTTTTTACTACTCGCAGGCACATTGACCTCATTTTAATTTCCCGATGCGATGTAAACATACTGGCATCTTATTGAAATATTTATGTGTCATCTGAGTAACACGATTACCTGTCGCGCGTGAAATGCAAGCGGCATTGTTATTCATTCTATAACATTTTGATAAAAGAGTTGTGTATGACGTGTGTCCTGGGCTCATTTAAAAACGATACATACACACATTTCTCTCTTTTATATTATAAAAGTAATGTGATTTGTATAAATACGTTTTTCCACTTATCGTAGAATTTATTTTTTAATTTGTGATCCGGAAAAATTATAACTACAAGTTTCAATTTAGGGTGACATCTATTTCTACGCGCATTTTCCCTTAGCGATCGAACAGTCCTCATGTAACAGCAGCAGCATGTCTGCCATAAGGGGCGCGCCATCTTGCTGATACCCCGGTTTTCATTAGGCGCCACCCTCTTGACGTCATTGGCGGTTGGGTCGGCCATCGTGGAACTCATTATGCAATCTTCTATTCCTGGAATTCATGATGGCCGTCGGCGGGCACCTTCACCGGCGGCCATCAGAAGAACAAGCCTGCACTCTGTTAGAAGTTGCCGCAACTTTTGGTTTCAGGGCTTCTCAGATAGATGTCTCTACCGCTTAGAACGCTGTGCTGATCTTTATTAACATTTAAAGCGTAAATTTTTATAATTAATTAAACAATGAGTTTTGTTCTTAACAGTAGCTAAGATGTTTGCAATATGCACATTTAAAAAAATGTATTTGCAGCATATATTATATGCATTTATTTGTACTTTTAATCAGAATTATTTAGAATATTATTATTTAATTATATTATTAACAATTTCAGTTTGAATTTTGCGATTATTAGTGATAACAAAATCAATGAATTGTTTAATTCAATGATTAAGAAGTTATAAAGTAATTTGATGTATAAAGTAAATAATGAATTATTTAGATTTGTGTGTGTTATATTGAAAAAAAATGCTTGCAAAGTGACAATAGTTTATAATTTTATTTTGACTTTTAATAAGTAATATTTTTATGTTACATATGTAACAGATAATATAATATTATATTATATGTTACGTATAATTTATACGTTATATATTTATGTTATATATTTTAATATTTCATGAAGAATTGCATAATATTTAAATAATTCTTTCTTTCATCAATTTCTTTTATGAAACAATAAAAAAAATTGTTATCAAAATATCAAGATATATGTACAAATTTGATATCAATATGTTAACATATTATTAGCATAGAACAAGTATTATTTATCATAATGTAACTTGAATTTTATACGCAAAAATGATAAATTGTAATGCTAATAAAATCATGCTCGACAGGAGCAATATCTCGTATCACTGATAAAGTACATGTTCTAAGAGATACATATTAAAAGAACAAGAACATTGATCACACGATGAATCTGTTTTTTTGAAATGCGCATTTAAAAATATAAGCAGGTTTTTGCGATCGTGTCAGTAAGAGTTTAGCTAATTAAAAGTTACGACAGCGTTACAGTATATCTAAGATAATTTAAAAAAAGACCACAGTCGCCGGCTGAGATATATGCGAGGAAAAGGCGATGTATTAACGCAGCTTCGCGTGCCTCGATCCATCCAGTCTTCCTCTATCTGCAATATTATGCGCATCCGTAGGCAGATTAAATTCACGATACTTTCCTACGGGCGTACGCTCGCGAGACAAGCCGATGCGAAAGTGAAACGAAAATTTACAGTAACCCTACCCAGAGGCATCGCGGGTACTTTAAAGGACAGCGGGGCAACCTTATCCGCATCTCAGATCCGGATAATTATGTCGGCGTGTTTATTACGCTCGGTTATCCGCGACTTTATTTCGTCGGATAAAAGGATAAAAGGACGCGAGGTAGATATCCCGTAGCCGTCGCGCGAAGACGTTTGCAAAGAAAAGTCACGGCTGGAATTCATGATGGCCGATCTTCTTTCCCCCCGTCGATTTCGAAGCAGTTAGCCTGGGCGTAGGTAGGCGAGCGCGTGCGTATGCGTGCGTTGGGTGCGTTGGGTGCGTTGGGTGCGTGTATGTTAACGCACACGCGGTTGTACATATCCTCCGTCTGGACTGCAAACCCCAAGGCAAGATTGGTAATTTCCGAGCCGACTCCTTTTTCCACAAACTCTATGCGCGAGACTTTCTTCGGAAGATAAAAAGCTCCTGTTTCTATTTAGTCTGTATTTCTCCCGGGACTTAGCTTTCTACTTTTCATGGCATTTCTATCTTGGACCGAGTACTTTGAAAGAGAAGCGAGAATTTATGGTTGAAATTAAAAACTGCAATCTTGCATGAAGGCGTTACGCGATTGTATTGTTATATCTTTGCACTGTGAATGGTAGTCACATTGATTATAGATATTTCGCAAGCAATACCGGAAGAAAATTAAAGTCAGTTATTTTTTTAAACGTCATTACTTGCGACGCATGAAAAAACAATATATAAAATACATTTTATCAATTTATAACATAATTTCGATATTTGAAAAGTTGTTCTGCGTTAATTAACACAACTTTTTTAATGTATAAATTGCGGAAATGTATTGCGATAAGTAACAAGTAAAAATACTAAATATCGGAAAGCAATTTCGTGTTTGACTTATCTATGCATGTGAGTGTTCTGATAAAAAAGGATATCATAATTGCTGTGCTCCGATAATCACAACTTATCCTTACAAGACGCAATTTGAAACTAATTTCAGATCTGGGCAGTGTATCAGGAATGGAAAGAGCGGAGCATCCACTTGATAAATATTACGATTATGCTCATTATAAAATTTAGTCGCACGCAGTTGCGGTTCGGAGCCCCATTTGTTCTTATCAAGTCTTTCTGTAAAATCTCCGGCTCTTTGCCGTTGAATTTAGAGCGGCGGCTCTAAAAGAAACGAAGAGGAACAGCGGATAACTTGTGCGGGATGTCCAGGTAAGCTGCAGGGATAAACAACCAGCTTGAACGGATCCTCCGAACCGTCGAGCTTTGAAGATCCAATGAACCGCTTATTTCTACTTTCTTTTTGCTCCGCGGTTTCGTGTAAAACATCGGAGAGCCCGAGGTAGAGTTGACACATAACTCAATACATGCGTGTCGTATTTACGACGTTATAAAATTATCGAGTTGATGGTTTAAACGGGGATAAAACTGGCATTAGCCTGTTTTTTGGCCGACTACTCACAAATTAATTGGTTTCTGTATCTAACGCGACCGGTTTTTTTCTCTCGGTTCCAAAGCTAATGTTCTATGGATGTATGTATTTTTACTGTGTAATTGTCGTAAGAATTTTTTAGCATATCGAAAAGGAATTCTAATTTGTAAATACAAGAAGGGCATTAACTATGTAAATTCTATTATTTGGATACTATCGTTTTTTCTTGGTTACAATGTTAAAAGTAGAAATATATATGACGCGGTAAATATTTTTAGAGAAAAAGATACTAGCAGCTTATTTTTAAAACATTTAATAAAGATAAATT